CCGCTTCTCTTCGTCGTCGAGGTCATTGGTGATGACACCACATCTCTCAGGTGCTGAGAGGTCAGGAAACAGGCATGAGGCCCGCAAGGCGCGAGCAGGGCTCGTCTCACGCCGCTGGCGCTGCTTGCCTTCCTCCTCGTCCAACCCGGGAAAAGGAGTGTCAGAGTTGTAGTCGACTACCTCCACATCCTCAACAAGGTCACTCGTCACTGATAGCGTGCGGGGACCGCGACGCTCGGGCTCATCGAGCCTAGGATTTACATCCCTTGATGCCTTGGACGCACTGTCCGACATTGCACCGCGTGCGGCAGACGAAGATAGGCTCTGCCCGTGTACGCTGTCAGAACCAACAAGACTTGGTGACTTCAGTGTTGTTGACACAGGGCTCATTGAGCACGGAAGTCGTTTCGTTTCAACGAACTAAGTTGCAGTGTCTAATAGACACGCAAGCCTCTTTGAGGCAACAATCGTTTGGAACTGTAAATGTTCTTAATTTTTTATAAGGGAGAGTGTAACGGTGTTACACGTACCCTGATAACAGGGGTTTGTGTCACACGAGATGGGCATGGTGTGACTACACTCAAATAAGAATACGGAACGTGGCTGGGTAGCTAGTAGTTATGCATGTATTTAGATTTTTATAAATTATTTTTTATGCATTTAAAATTAGGCGGCTTTGCCACAGATAAAAATAAAAAAAATCAGTTTTGAATTTTAATTGAAGAGTTTATTAGCCTTGGTGAAGGTTCTCACTACTTTTGAAGGTAGCGGATTGCGATTCGCTCCACTCGAACTGGTTCTTGTAAAGAACGAAAGGTCGGTAACCTGACTTACGCCTCCTCAAAGCGCAAAGCTACGGCAGCCCCGCTAAATTTGGTAACAGATTACCGCGCAGCGCATTGTCAGCGACAGGATTGCACGACCAAGATCACAGACAACCAGCATTCTGTCGCACACAGAATGTTTATGACTTCATATAAGAAACTACATTATGCATTTGGAAGCACCATACTGTAATCTTCTTTTATCTTCCTTTTTTATTAATTCCCACAATACATACAAAAGCTACAGAAATGTACCATCATGTAATTGCTAAGTGTAGCACATAACATCATCCACTCCTTATAGTCAAAAGTACTTTGATACCTTTGCTGACAATGAAGCGATCAAGTGAACAAGTCAACATGAATGAGCGTTTTTCGCATCGACGGCATAGAACGGTCTAGAACTCTTTGACGTTTTCTCGATTCTCAACCAAAATGGAGACAAAGGCTTTATATGGAACTATTCTTTCGTTGTTGTCAGATCAGATACCGTGATGATCCAACCCAGCCCATCGCAGCTAAGCTTGACTCTTGGGGACATTTGTACGCCTTGAGAATGAAAACAAAACGGAACGTCTACTTTGATGAGTCGGCGCCGGCAGGACCCCCAGTGACGACCGAGCCCAACCAAGCTACGGTCGACGAAGTGTTGCCTCTAGCAACACTACAAGCAACTCTCGTAGTTGCGGACCAAGTCGAGGACATCAGTCGCCGAGTCCGATGGATAGCCGCGCCACCGAACTCTGTAGAAGCGTTGATGGCTCAATTGCTTCTTTCCAGGATGACGAGTCGATCGATCATCGGATCGACAATCATCATAATCATCCAACGAAGCTCCCAACGAGAGGCTTATAGCGGAGGTGGGGCTGAACGCAAAAACGATTATGCGATTCTAAAGGCGGAAGGGCCTCATTGTGGGCAAATTAAGACATCGCAGCAGCGTTGCTCGACGCTTTAAGATCGCCTTTCGAACCTTGTTGCAGAGCAAAACTCGAAACTCGACGTTCTGACTAACGGTTTCGTCCAATGCTCGACTTTGAAGTACCGTTTTGTAGTGCGGTTTCAACAGGTTAATGATGAAAATGTTTGACTCCGAATTTTCTGAGATGGTTCACGAACACCTGTTGCACTCTGTTGAATAGATAGGCTCTATTCTCGAGGTACTCCGTAGTATTCGCCTTCAAGCGTTCGAATCAGTAAAAGAAGCAATCCTTCGATGTCCTTCAGCGTTTGTACGCCGAAAAGAATTGTTGGTTGCTTTACATGAACAAATGGAGAAACTTCATGATCAGCTCGATCATCTACCAAAGATAGAGTAGGATCGGCAGATGCATTCAGAAGATACAGCTTTAGCCTATCCATATAAAACGTTGAGTTTAGGCGCATGTATGTAGGGATGGCTAATGTATACGCATCACCATTGCATTTCATCACCTTGAACGGTTCAATGAATCTAGGTAAAAGCTTCCAAATTCTCAAGTTGGACACTGCATGATTAGGCAGATGTATCGTGGAAAGAATTACAAGATCATGAACCGTATATATCGTCTTGTTCTTCCTTTCGCTCTTATGCGCTTGTTCTTTTTGCAGATCCTGAGCGTGCTCATCAAAGTTTTTCTTCCGTGTCTTCTTATCAGATACTTCCGCAGCATTGATGTTTTCGTTGATCGGTTCTTCGACAATCTCACATATTTGCAAAATTTCGCCTTTCTCCAGGCTACGCTTCAGCGTCTTTTTGCCCATCAATGGCAAAGAAAAAAATTCGTTGACTGAACCTGGAGGATGTTCAATCTTCATGTGACGGATAACATCAACGTCACCTTCTTCGTTGTAGACATCTATCAAATCGCTTGAAGTGTCTTGTTTTCGAACACTTTCTTCATTAATACAGCTTGTACCTTGATCAGGGGTACGCAAAATAACTGACGGAAAACTCTTCATGGTGGCCTACTTCTTCTTCTGTCGGGATGGGTCTTTGCCTCTGATCCCACTATTCTTCATACTGCCATCGACCATGACTTC